AAAGCGTCATAGATGACACTAAAGAAACGATTGGAGTCTAGCAAAGCCAGTATTGATGCATGAAGAAAACTGCCATTAACCCTGCCAAAAGCCTCCCGATGATAGGTGTCCCGACACCATTCCGAAATTATTTAAGGAAATTCGACAATGGCCGGCCCATTTCCGCATAATTTTTGCTAAACTTTTGCAAGTAGTTGGCGAGGCCAAGCCACTTGCGCAAGTCCTTTTGGTTCGTTGGAGCCGTCCTCACTGGCCTTGACCTTAGCATGATCCGCTCGAAGGTCTCGCTTCCCAATGAAGCACCGTAAAAGGGGATTTCTTCCGCGCCAAAACTGCACTTATCGGCATTAGCACACAGCTTATTCGCGTGCATGCAGTCGAATTCCGCTCTTAAATTTATGATGTGGTTCTCCACATTTGTCCTATCGTGTCATGCACGACTGTAAACGAAGATTTCGTTGAAGTATGTCTGTGCATACGCCTGATGGGGCCTGAACATCTGCGCCACAAGACAATTAAATGATGCTGGTGCATGTGACAGCCCTTGGGGTGCCACCAGCCACTCCCAGAGCATGCCGCTTGGAGTATTCACCGCTGTCAGCGGAATATCACTCGCCCTCCTGAGCAATTGGTAATAATTATCGACCAAGTCGAGTGCGCTGTACTTTGTACAGCCAACCATATTATTCTGGAGATCATCCTTTCCAGGAGTTGGCGTTTGTGAGGAATGGTGGCAGCGTTGAGCTTATTACAAGCGTGAACAATACGCCACTTGCTATTCGGCTTCCGGACACAAAACATGGGTGTCGAATGGGATGACTTACTCTCACGCACCATTCCTGCCTCATGCTTTGCCCGAAAAAAGACGTTAATGACGTTTCGCTGCTCTTTAAGCAGGCACCATTGGCGTGTTACGCATTATTCGGTTCCCGGTTCTAGGTCAATCTCACGACGTGCAACCCAGTCCGGAGGTAGGACCGAAGGTGGGTCTTTGAAGACGAAGTCTTGGAATTCCTTTACCAAAGGATAATACAGATCCAAAGGATCCCTCAGGATCGACGATCCACTTCGTGCGTTCAGCAACTTCTTAGTGTCATCCAGGGGTCAGGGTCGACGCCCTGTGTCTTGCAGATAACATATGGCTATGCCGTCTCCTTTATATTGAGGTTCTACGTCCCATCAAGCCCAGTGGGAACACGAACTCGACACCGTCCAGCACCCCATTCCCTGCTCCATCGGAACCTTGATGTTATTAACCACATCCGACGAAGAGCTGCTCTTTCCGCAGTCTTCGTCCTTTGGATAACGTGCCACTCCACGCGCATCAGAAGAGCCTTGCCTAGGATGCCTCGGGCCTCGTCTGACCATGCCACACTTGGCTACAGCAACTGCTTCGAAACGTGAGCAGTTCTCTGTGGATTTTGTGCCACCCCCACGCACATCATGAGGGCCTCGCCCTTGATGTCTCGGCCCTTGGAAGACCATACCACTCTTTGCATGCAGCGATTGCTGCAATGCGTGAGCAGCACTCAGTGGGTTACGTGCCCCTCCGCGTCCAGCTCGCGAGCTACTCTCGGAACTCTAGCCCAAAACACCTTTGGCGTTTGACAACTCGGAAATATCGATATCCAGCACCTTGGATATCGGGGTATCGGGCGAGTGGCCGCGCCTAAGCGCTTCTGCTTCTTATCAGAGGTGAATTCGTGACCCATCAAAGCTCCACTAGGAGACGTGCGCGTAGCGCCCAAAGTCTTCGACCTCCAATCAATCCATGGCTCATGGGGTTACAAATGCCATACCAAGAATAAGGTCATACATTGCATCCAAATCTCAGAATAGACAGCCTTTCACGCTATCGAAGTCAAGGAAAGTGACACCGAGGTCCACAGAGTCCATCGGCACAGTGACACAAGTCCCCGTCGCTAGGTGAACAGTGACGGTGTCACTTAATCGCACTTCCAGCGCTTCAGCATACAGATGAATTCCTCTGAATGTAGAGCGTCAAGCATAATTTGCCCGACGCGCCAAAATTGATAAGGATTTTCGGTGGCTTATCAAAGCCCTTCACGGTCGCTTTTACGTTCAGCAAGCCCGGCTTGCACACACGTTCCGTGTTCAAGAGCACGGAGCTCTTCGAGGCTGGGCCCTGCTGCCCTCTACCGCTATGTGGCTCAACAGATCTCAGTTCTCCTCCATTAGGGCTCCCCGCGCCTACTGGGTGTTTTCGTTTCTCGCGTCAAACTATATTGGTTAGAAGTGGTACGTCGGTTTGATGCACCTTGACGCGCCTTGCGCAAGGGACAACCCGTCCAAAGGCGACAGATGTCTTCACAAACAAAACACCGTCGGATGTTTAAACGCTGCTCGGCAGCTCGAAGCTCTCGGACCTCCTTCTCAGCACAGCTGGAATCTATTGGCTCAGGAAAGATCGACGAACTCTGACGGTGTGCATTCCAACCAAATCGTGCAGACTTAAAGTTGAATTCGGTAACCAATGCCACATTCACTGCTTCCTCAAAAAAAAGACGGAAGACTTCCAACTAGGTCACGCCAGTGCGGAGGCCCTCCATAAAGACGGTCACCAAGACCGCCCTGGGGAGAGGATCTGCTGCCATCCCAGCAAAAAGAGTTCTCAACTCTCGAACAAAGCCCAAAAACTCCTTCTTGCCTATTCGGGCAGCACGGAAACGCGATACGCTATTAGGCGGCGAGAACACTCGCAGAAGCTACCCTTCCAAGAGGGAAACGCAACTTCAACCGAAGCACCGCACATCAGTGCTCATTCTCGCACTCATCCTCAAGCTTGGAGAAAGCTAGTGCCACGCGCTGTTGCTGGTTTTGGAGCTCTTAAGGTCTAAACGCTCACCATGAGCGACCTGGGTCGGAAGGATTATCCGTCGTCGACGGTGGCGTCACGGACGCAGTCGACGCCGACATTTTTTACTTCAGGTGCTTTAACAGAACATTTTTATAGCTAAAAAAAAACTTGGCGCGCGCTGATCGATTTCGGTCCTTGCGAAGCAAGGTGTTGCACGCCCTCAGGTCCAAGCGGATACATCAGCTTTTTAAGCCCGTCTTGCATGCCCTGGGGCAAATAGGAGGATTGCTCTATTGGTCTATTGGTCAGTCGTAACGACTCATGTGTAGATCGACTACAAGTTCTATCAAGTGCAGCGGGGCTGCCGTAGCTACGCTAAGGCCACCGACCTTCGTTCTATACTTAGAACCAGTACGAGTGTAGCGGATCGCAATCCGCTTACTCCAAGAATGACAACAACCTTAAGGCAAATGTACTCTTCCGTTCAAAATGTAAACTGTAATTCTTGGCTTTATTTGCGGCAAACCGCCTATGTAGCGGGGTTACACGAACCCTGATAACAGGTGTGTGTGTCACACGAAATGTGCATGATGTGACCACACACCCAAACAAGAATACTTCGGGGTTAGGTAGCCAGTAGTTATGCATGTATTGAGATTTTACTATATGTATTTAGTATATTCAGGAGAATCTAAACTTACTATATATCTTTAGTATATTTAGGGAAATCTAAACTTTTAAAATTTGAAATTTAAACCGAAGAATCGATTAGCCTTGGGAAGGCAATT